CGGGGCGTTCGTTAGCAATATCCTTTAAAAATTTCGCCGATAATGACATTTCAAATAAATGAACAATTTGTGGTTAATATTAAGTGTTGTAAATTTGGACGGCATGATCATTTACATGTTTGTTGATTTGTGAGAAGTATGAAGTGCTAAATATTCTATCTTAATCAAATATGAACAAAAGTTCTTATGTAATACATCAAAAAAAAAAATTATATGGAGTATGTTGGTAATTAATTAATTTCTTAAGAATTGCTAATATAGGATTTTCTAGCATGTGTACACACCATGGATTGAATAAAGGTGTACTGCCACGTAATTGATTAAATTCAATATACTTCGTGATTTATAAACAAAAATATTCATCAAAATTTATCAATACACTAGGATTTGGATAATGGCAGTTGATGGACATTAGAAGATGAGACTACATTATATATACGCTAGCTGGTGATTAATTAGGACTTGAAATAATGATTACATGATTAATTAGTTAATTAGTGATAAATTGATAATAATACTAACTTGAATATAAAACGATGCCGTTATTCCATGCGCCTATCTCACTTCAAAATTGTCACTCTCTATTTCTCTAATAACTAATGAGCTTAATTACACCTAACATAATAATTTATGGCTTAATTGCATATGAATGATATGATAGATCCAAGATGACCTTATCTAAACACAACACTGCTCTTCATTTTCCTTCTTAAAATTATTTATATATTATTTTTAGATTTATTAATTGCATTTTCTGTTCTTTTTGCTCTTAACATTTAAAATAATTTTTATAAACGGGGTACAAAGTCTCTAAATTAAATACCTAATAATACACATTTTATAATGACATTATTATATTTATGTGCTAGTAGAATAATGAACCATTTTCTATCTTAAAATAAATGACAACAACCAATTAATTATTTAATTATTAGAGTTGACAAACTTGATTATATATATAAACATTAATCTAATTAGCTAGCTTACTGTCTCAAGACTTCGTTTGATTATTATCTTTTTGGCCAATTTTTTTGGTAAAAATACTAGCACCTCTTAATAAACTCGACAAAACCTCAAATCATCCCTAAATTTGCCACAAACATGTAAAAAACAAGCCTTGCAAATAGACTATAAATCTACACGACTCATTCCTAAATAATTAAGGAATGTGGTAATTAAAGTTAGGTAGTTATCCTTTTCTTAATAGTCTTAATTACTACAAAAACTCCACCTAGTATTAGTTGGTAAACCATCCTTTGATCCCTTGCCTCGAGTACTTTTTGTACTTTACCACTAGTCCTATATTATAGTACAACACTACTACAGTACAACACCTAATATTACCTGAACTAACTACCATTTTAAGTTTATTAATGATATTTTTTGTGATTAAAAATATGTTTCAATAAATAAAAAGTTTAAGATACTCTAATTTTAATTAAAAGATGTTTTAATTTGTTAATTTTGCACAATTTTCACTAGCTTCTATGTCTTTATAAATGTGCTATAAAACTTTCAATATTACTCTACATTGAGACGAATAAATTAAAAATCTCATATATGTTTTATATGATCTTATGCAACTAAAAGATGGAATATAAGGTTTAGTTTACAATATTAGTATGAATATTCTTACAATATATATATATATATATATATATATATATATATATATATATATATTAAGGTAAAAAGAGTGATCGATCCTACTAAAGGTCTGTTCTCATACGTTTATTTTCAGTTCAGTTCAGCTCAGTTTAGTTCAATTGAGTTCGTTCAGTTCAGCTCCTAATTTCCTTCTCTTATAAAATATTCAGTTCAATTCAGCTGATTTCAGTCTATTAGAACAGACCCTAACTCGAGACCTCTTAGTAATTAATCAAGTTCAACTTTGTACAAGTACGTATGAGCGTACTCAACATATATAGTCAACAACCAATTTTATTTAGTAAAGCCTTTTTCCAAATAAGTACATAGCCAGAATATCTTATATTATTCCAATTTAATTTTATAAACTGTTGAATGATTGGTAGACAGCAATACTGTTGAATGAAGTATAAGTTTATATTTTTGAGCAACATTATTATTCCACAATAGAGAAGGTAAAGGAAAGTCCAGTGATGAGAGAAAGAGAGAAGGTACAGTATGATTAATTTTCCACTTTATTTTCTTACATAATAAGGATAGAACATATCAGAAATAAAGGGATTTGACAGCCTCCATTATTTTTCTCTTTTTCACTGTACTCCGTATATCTTTGTCTTATTAGTTTAAAACAAATACGGACTATAAACTTTTCCATTACTCAGCTTCCATTTACTATAGGAAAAATTGATTTTAATAATCTCAGAAAGGTTAGGATGCCACGTGTTATTGTTTAATTGGTTGAAAAATAAAAAATAAAATAAAATTAAAAAAAAACTGAAAAAATAAAAAAAAACAAAACTGAAAAATGAAAAAACGAAACCCACCACCTATCCCCACCCACCCCCACCGTGAACCCTAACCATAGCCTACCCACCATAAACCGGTCGGCCGCCACCATAAACCCCCCAAAAACGGCCGGCCGGAACCCCCCATTACCGAGTTCACCCCCGATGACCAAAATCAACCCCTCGAATACCACCCTTGAAACAACCATAACCACTACAACCACCATCCTATTAACCCCACCCAGCCACCGAAACCCCCTCTAATCGCCTAAAACACCCTCTAACCTTCAACAACCACCGAAAAGCCCTTAAATCTTACCCAAATTCAACCTCAAGCCATCCCTTGAAATTGATTCATTGATTTTTTTTTTATTCATTGATTTTTTTTTTATTCATTGAAGTTAAGGGTTCATTTCGATGGTTTTCGTGGGTGTGGGGGTTGGAATCGAGTCGGTTTTTGCTAGATAAGGGTGGGAATGGAGGTTTCGGCGGTGGATATGGGGTTCGGCGGTGGAGGAGAGGACGCCGGAGGTTGGGGTTAGGGTGGTCGTTGGGGCTGGCTGGGTTTTAAAATTAGGCTTTCTTTTTTTTTTTTGACCAAATTATTTTTGACCAATTATTTTTTTTTGACAGGAATTTTTTTGACCAATTATTAAGTGACATGTGTCACTCAAATTAAAATTAAAAAAAATGTTTACCTAAAGTTTAGGTTACCGGTCATAAGGGACCAATAGAAGAAGATCCCCTATAAAGATAGGATTATTAGATAATAATCTAAACGTGGGATTATTAACAGCAAATCGGTTAAAGGTGGGATTATTAGAAACAATTTTTCCTTTACTATATTCTGGAGATTAACCTTGAATTTAATTTACCCATTGTTTAAGATGAAAAAAACAATTCTAAAATTTTGGTGGTAATTAAATATAGTTCAAATGATCATCACTATGTTTATTTTTCAGGAGGATTAATAATCATGCTGCTATTATAAATTATTGAACCCGCATAAGTATAATGTATACTGTAATAGCTGAATTAAAACGGAGATAGTATACCATCATATGACTGGATCCCCTTATCAACAAGAGACATGGATACTTAATCAGTATTACAAGTAACATTTTTTTTTCCTCATTTTGACTTTATCCCAAATAAATTATTTACGGAGTATGAATTAAGCATTTATGAATCAATCAGATTTCCTCAAACAATAAATTCCTCCGGCCAAAAACAAAAAACTAAAGAAAGAATATTAAAATGTCCCCTAAATTACGACTTAGAGCAACTTCAACGGCAAGCTAATTGCCAAATTAGCTTGCCATGCCACCTAGAATTGCAAAGTTATTTTTCCATCTAGCTAATTTATGCCACAATGGTTAAGCTAATTAGCATTTAGATTTTTCAGCTTTATTTTTTAAATAATTAGTATTTTATTAGAGACAATTAATTTCTAAGCTAATTTGCTTGGCATTAGCTTGGCCAAGCTAATTATTAAACTATCCTCCAATGGTTTGACTATTAGCTTGAAAATTATTAAAATTGCAAGCTAGTCCCTAAAAGCAACCATTTCAAATATATATATATATATATATATATATATATATATATATATATATATATATATATATTAAAGGGTAATTAAACTATTGACAAAAACATCATAAAAAAGGTGAGGGGGAGAGCAATTTAACAATAGAATATTTGTTGACATAGAAAAAGTAAGAGAATTAGAACCCAATTACAAAAATGGAATAAAAAAATGAGACAAATGATTATGGAGTGCAACGAATATAAGTTGGGCTAATTCAATGCTTATAATGAAACCCACAAAAAGGTGACCTTAAAGCATCATTGATCAATACTTCTTAATTAATAATAATAGTACATCTTCATAATACTTAATCATCCCAATGTTTTCTACTAATTACCTACATAAACACTTTCATTTGACTAATTATAGGTAATTATGTGATATGGTACAAATTGGTTATCATGCCAATGTTTAGCTATCATTATATTAGTAGGTTAAAAGCTAATGTTAAACTTTAATAACACCAAGTAAAAAGCATTAAGAAAAAAAAATATATATTAGCTAAACAAAGAGAACTGTAGTTAACAAGGGAAACACCCAATATATCAAAATTTAGAAGGGATTGAAAAATGGCGAAGGAATTTTACAAGCATTTATTACAAGTCTTAAGTAATCTAATGTCCCACATTTGTAATCCTACATACTATTCAATTCATGCTTAAAACACAAGTTAGACATTTCATCCGGTCTCAATAAATACGAGTATTTTTATTATAAAAACACCCTTAAATTTTTCAAGTGATTTGAACTCCGAAACTCTTTAACATCTCCAAAATGGCACCAATATTAAACCAATTATGCAATCTCAAAGGTTAATTATAGTACACCACACATCTTTCTCAAAGGAAAAGTAAAGAAAAATGACTATGTTTTCCCATCAATTTGACTCAACATTTTAGTTCAACTCCATCCACCAACCAACCCAAAATAGAACAAAGATACAAATATTTGCATGTTAAATTATATTGCAAAAAACATAGCAACCCCCCATAAATGAGGAAGAAAAATCAATTTATTTCCAACCTAATATAGTATTCATGATTGGATTACATAATTTTTACATATAGAAGTACATATTCTACCCTCTTTTTTTCCTTCTTTTTTTTTTTTTTTTTTTTGATGTAGAAAAATAAAAATAAAACCCTAATCTCATATGAGAATATTATCAAAACTGCCCATATATATATCATACAAAAAAAGAGCAGGGGAGAAGTATATCATACAAGATTGAAACTTTGAAACAGAGCATCTAAAAAAAAAAAAAAATTGATTTAGTAGATTTATATTTCACATAAAATTAGCAAAAATTAAACCCACCTTAAAATTTGTAATTTTTATTGATTAATATTTCTCAACCCCAAACACTTCCCCAAATTCTTTCACCAATAAAACTGACAATCTTCCTTACAGACCCCTGTTTCATTTCATCACCTACCATCTTCTCATCATCACCTTCATCTTCACCTCCTTGTTCTTCAACCCGGCCCAATTCAGGCCCGACTCCGCCCGACCCATCTGACCCATTACGAGTAACATCATCATTAACCTTAATCTTATCAGAAACCTGATTATTATTATTATGATCGAAGTTTGATTTGCTGTTCTTCCTCTTTTCTTTCCTGGTTGACCCCTGTTTCTTCTTCTTCCTTTGCGCCACCAAATTATCTTCAAAAGCGTCGATAATCTCATGAATAAGCTGTCGATTAGGGGAGGAATCCCATCGAGCCCAGTAGCTAGTATAACAGGTGAAACAATAACAGCTCGAATAAGGAGGGTGTTGCTGAAGATTACTATTATTAGTAATATTATTATTATTAAAATTGCTCTGTTTTTTGGCAGAGGATTTAGAAGGGTCAAAATCAAAAGGGGTAGAAAAAGAAGAAGAAGAGGAACAAGAAAGAAGATAAGCTAAGACTTCTTTGTCTTGAGGAGAGAGAGTAGCAGCAAGAGTTAGGATTGCAGCAGGAAGATAGGAGAGAGAAAATTGATCGGAAGATGGTGGAGGTGAAGGTGAAGGTGAAGGGTGAACTTGACCTTTGCGGTAGAGTTTTTTCATGGTGGAGAGAGAAAGTAGAGAGAGAAAGAGAAGGAGGGAGAAGAAGAAGAAGTCTTATCTAAGGAGTTGAGTTGGGTTGATATAGAAGAAAGGGAAAGAGGAAGAATATTGAGGTTAAGGAATGGTTGATGAGTCTTTTTATTCTTTTGATTTTCTCTCTCTTCTTCCTCTGTTTTTCTCTTTATTGTGTTGAGTTGTCATTGTGGACCTTTGTTTTTATCAAATGTTGGTTCTTTTACTATATAGTGTGGGTTATGTAATGTAATAATGTATGTTATGGAGGGTATGTTATTACTCTAGGTTTGGTTACTTTGACCTGAACCCATCCTAGAAGGAGACTTTCGTAGAATATTTTTCTGTTGTAGTTGGATTGAGTCTTTTGTATGAAGTTGGGTATGTTTTATGACGGACTAAAAGACGGTCATTAAAAGTGTTATAAGTTCGTCGTCAATGGGCTGTCATAAAATTTTTATAATGCGCTCTTTTGGGCTTACTTTTCAAATTTTAGTTATGTTCAATTTAGTTTTACCAAGTTAATTTTAGTACAATTAAGCTTCATTAGGCTGAGTTCAACAAGGTTCAGTTATATGAATTACCTAAGTTTAGTTAATTGAACTTTATTAAGCTCGGTTCGGTTCATTTCAATTCATTTTAATTTTATTCAGTCCAAAATATTATGATCTTAGTCACCACCGAAGTAATAACAATAACATCACAATTTATGGGCCTGTTCTCTTCACCTTATTTTCTGTTCGGTTTAGTTCAACTCTAATCAGTTCAGTTCTCTTCTGTTCCTATTTTTTTTTTCTGTCATAAAATATTCAATTCAGCTCAGTTTAGTAAAATCAGAACATGCCCTAAATATTGTTTGGAGGGCCTTTATGATTTTTATTCGAGTTGATTATGGTTTAGCTCGAGCTTAAAAAAATATAATTTGTTTGGGACTTTAATTAGATTTAATCTAATTTGATAAGAAATCTTAATCGTTAACTCAAGTTGGACTTTTCAAGACTAAAGTGGAAGAACCCAAACTCTACGCAAAATTTAGGTTGCATGGGCTGAGTCAAAGTTGACTGGCATTAACATTTAAGAACATAATCTTCAAGAACATCTGGTATAATGTACGTAATTCATATCACATCATTTTCAATTTCACAAGGTTATATATGCAAGAAAAACATGCCACAAGATCGACCCGATGGTCAACATATTTTAAACCAATAGCATATAGATAAGGGTTCAAAGATAAGGCGGATAGTTACAAGAAGCCAAAACATATATGAGAATATGTATACATGCAAGTTAAATCACTTAGTAATCACCTCAGAAGTCACACCGTACCACCTTCAAATGCTATTGATTGGGTGTGCATGTTGGATATTTATTTATTGGTTGGTTTAACTGGGTGTGCATAAGTCATGATAAATCGTTGTGTTAATAATCAAGCATGCACAATCAATTATGATAAGTGTCACTTTAAAATAAGTTAGATTATTGTCAAATCATCAGATTAGATTTTTTTTTTAATATAGCACTAAGACTTTAATAATCAGATTTCGAAAAAAAATAAAAACTATAATAATCATATAACGGATCGTGGTCTCTCAAAATCTTGCTCATAACCACAACAAGAGGTCTCTAGCTAGTCTATGCTTTGTTATGTAACAATAACCTAAAAAACTTATCAAATTCACCCATCATACATTCCTAATCCAAGAAAACGAAGATCATTTACCAATTTAAGAAGATGAAATACAATTATACAAGTGGTATGTATGGTTTGACGAGTAGAATACAATTGAAATTAGTTGGTGTTGCGAGGAAGTTACCTTACAAGTGTTACAACCTACAAAATGTAATACGATGAAGATGACGTATGTGATAGGGTATGAAAGTATAGTGAATTGGGTTCACGTGCATCGCGGTATATGTTTGGCAAATTCAATTGATGATGCGGTTATTGGTTTTTGCAGTGCCAGTGTATCTGCAGTAGTACTTCTACTTGTAGGGTATGCCCTACAATTCAAGGGCTCTCAATATAGTCTGTTTATAGTCTTGTTTCCAGCTCTGTATGTAGTTAATGAATATGTTAGGCATGTTGTACTACTAATTGGGAATTGCGGAATTGGATATATCTAAGCAAGACTTGATTTACTTGAATTGGATTAGTCTAGTAAATCCGAGGACATAAGGTCGACATCTGCACGTGTTTAGAATGATAACTCTTACGGAGTATTAAAACCTCTCCTCACTTCCTAGTGTTGGGATCGCAAAAACTGGTTTAAGAAAGTGTAACGTTTGTGGTTCAGTTTGGATCCTTAAAATAGAAAGTCAAGTGCAATTACGTCAATTAGTAGGGAGTCATAATTACTCTTGAAAAAATTGGATAGTGCAAGACTGGCTTTAGGGCGTGTTCGGCGTTAGCTTTTGAGTAGCTTTTAGGTAGCTTTTAGTGGTTTGACTTGGTCAAACCACTACTCAACAAAAAATGTGAGTGTTTGGCAAAGTAGTGGTTAGGGTAGCTTTTAGTGGTTTGACTTGGTCAAACCACTACTCAACAAAAAATGTGAGTGTTTGGCAAAGTAGTGGTTAGGGTAGCTTTTAGTGGTGGAGGTAGCTTTTGTGAAAAGTTAGAAATATTAGCTTTTGAAATTAGAGGTAGCTTTTCAAGTAGCTGTTGAAAATTTAATCTATAGTTTTAAAAATAAAATATTGATTTTTATATGTAACAGCTAGTCAACCACTACTTTACCGAACACTCATATCTAAATTATTTATCTTCACAGCTAACAGTTTGTTGACAGCTAACAGCTACCTACACAGCTAACAGCTACCTCCACAGCTACAGCTACTTTCACAGCTATATTTTGCCGAACACGCCCTTAGACTGCAAGTAACTTTTAAACGATATACTATCTAGTATAACCATGTATTCTAATGTAAAGAGTAAATATTTACAATTGAAGTTAACTTATACGGTGAAAAAGAGAAATGGTGTTAAACTATTCTATCTAAGTAGTGTTAATGTATAATAAGAATAATACATGTGTGGAAATTAAGACATTTATTATTTATTTAAAACACGTCATAAATTTTATAAAAACACCAAATAAAGAAATATTTAAGGGATAAAAAGAGACTGAATACGTAGTAGTAGTGTATACTCGTATTTAAGTTCCAATTTTACCTCTTTTTTTTTTAGCAACTTCCAATTTTACCTCGGATGGTAGGCAGCATCTCAACCGCAACGGGCCTGTAATAACTGACGAATAACAGAGTATAAAACAGGGCCCAATTGTTTTTTAGCCTTGTAAATTGGATTGTCTTTACATTTTTGTTCTTTTAGGGTTTTTGGCCGACTTCTTTTTTTTCATGCTATTCTTAAAAATTATTGATTGAATTGTACTTTTCTAATTCTGACCGCTTTAATTTTATTTACGGAGTATATTTTATCAGGCTCTAAATCTTTTGTTGAACTCCTGAATTAAAATTCTGAAAGTGTACACAAGTACTGTAAAAACAACACTCGTGAATTCTGACGTCTCCAACATTATTTGAAATAATCTAGTCGTACTACTCTACTAGATTTGTATGTTGTAGGTCCACTATACAATTTTTGCAATATGCTAATTATCTCACTTACGTGCCAGTAGCGGAGCCAATAATCGACATTTATGATCATAATATCGATACTGTCTTTAAAATCTTGGCTCCGTCATTGCCGAAATAATTTATAAATGATTTTGAGTATGTGATAATAATTTTAATGCTGCCAAAGTGCCGATATTCAATCATTTGAATGGCTAAAGATTGATTTATAGTTATATCGAGTATCTACAAAACTAAAACACCTATATATATAATATATGTTTTGGAGCCTAGCCTAGCCCCTCTTTTGCACCAAAAAAAAAAAATCTGTTTGCTCCCTTCTCAATTTGCAATAAAATTATCATATCCTTTTTGATACTCAATCGCTAGTAGCTAATATAATAAATCGACTATAGCTAGTATAAAAGGTAATTATATACTACCTCCAATTTTTTTAGTTACAACTTTGGAATATTATTTGAGAGATAAAATATTCCAAAGTTGTAACTAAAAAAAATCGGAAGTAGTATATAAAAACTAAAGTTGTTGAACACGCCCCTTAATACGAAGAGTCACTTGTAAGTTTGTAACCCTTTCATTGATCATGTTTTATAATCATTTGGTTGCGTAGGACTTAGGAGGGTTGGTACACTTAGTTTATTATACACTAGCCTAGTTTTGAGGTTGCTTGTTACTGTAAAAAAAATCCAAATGTATAACGACATTGCAAAGTGAATAAAAAAATAAAAGGTGTTAGAGGATTGTCATTTGTCAGTGGATTTGGTAAGGGGCAATTGTTAATGTAGTAATAATTTATGATTTAGCTATGAAATATGGTTTACTACTTTACTTGATATGGATGTTAGACAGATTACTTACCTCTAAAATAAAATTATTACATAAATTGACTTTAATGATAAGCTATAATATCGGATTATGTCACTTAGTGAATACATGTGGTTTAATTCGATAATAAACCATGTATGTGTTCCTATTTGAAAATGTTGTAGACAGAAATCAATCTCAGACCTTGAGTACCATCCCTATTGAATATTCAAGTGTTGAACTTATCTCGAGTTATTTTGAAATTTTTTTATCATTAACACGGTATACTAATTGGGCCGTCACGTACTACTGCTACAATATTTAAAAATTCTAAGAACAACCTTTCATGTTGCATTTAACCTGCCTATCTCATCAATTTGGCTTATAAATTGTACAAGAATCAAAAGGGATTAATGAATTCATAAAATATCAGCTTGATATGATAAAGAAAATCTTCACTTCTGCATACTTTTATTTGTTTATGTGCATAAGATAACAAAGAAAAAGTAACAAAAAAGATGATGATAATTGAGTTTAAGCTCTTTAAGGGACCACCCCAAAACACTCTTTACATCATACACGTAGCAAATACTTTCTTTCCATAATTAGAATATTGATTAGGTTTAATTGGTTCCACAATGGAGCAGTTCAGAAAGATACAACTGATATACTTGTATGTCTCTGTCTCAATGCAAAGATCAAATAGACCCATACAGATTGGAACATGAACATCATCAAGTCAAGCCGCGTTATGTATCAAGTACTGTGACTGTAAGTGACACAAGAACGATGTTGATGGTATTGATCATCAAATTCACCTTGGCAAACTAGCATAAAAAGAATGAGGGTGGGAGGAACGTGCTAAGAAGAGCTACTTACACGTGACTTGATCCATGATTCAAGGTTCTTCAACTCCTCGGTGCTAATTGAATGTCCTAAACCTGGATAAGCCTGCAATAAGCCAATAAACCAATAGGGTATGTGGTGAGTCATAATACTTCTATCTCACGGATGGGAAAATCTAGACTTTTTTTTTTTTTGGCTATGTAAAGGCGATCAAAACAATGACCCAGCGGTCTAATTTTAACCCGTGTCAAAGATAGATGTTTATCATTCTTGATGAGTGGTTAATAGTAAACCGTTAAACATCATTAAGTACCTTAAACTCGCAGGTAACACCAGCTTTTTCAAGGAAAGGAGGACCAGCTTGCCCTGCCTCAAATAAGACAGTTGGGTCGGATAATCCATGTGACCACAAAATTGGTGTCTGCACAAACACAAACTATATAAATAACAGTTTTTGCACCAAACAAGTGTCACTAAAAAGACGGCAGAAGTGGCTTGAAAAAGACTTCGACATTGTGGAAAATATACTTTTTGAGAAGCCAAAAGATGGTAGGCATGCAAGCAAGTGCTTCTAAAGTATTTTATATACTGAAGACTGAATATATGCATCCGCCTTTTATAATCAGTGTAGTGGATTACAACAAAAAATTGACTCGTGCCGTGTACAATGCGTCTTCAAATTCCATAGGGGTCAGCCAGAATTCTTTTTCTTAACTTCGAAGATATTAAAGAAGGAAAAGGGGAAGGGAAAAAAAAAAAAAAAAAAAAACGAGAGAAAGAAAATGGAAAAAGTGTGCTCAGTCCATGGAAAATCACTGCTCAAAGTGCTTAATGATCTAATGCATGACTACTAATTGACAAGGTTGAAAGTTCATACTAGTAGAATGTTTCCCACAATAGAAACACAAACAGATTATAGTATTGAACTGCAAGTACAAGAACCTTGTACCTTCTTAGCGTCTGCTGGAAATTGTTCAATAAAGGAATGATTAAAAGGAACCCAGCCACTGAAAATTGCACCACCTCCTAAAGTTTTGGGATAAAGCAATACACTAGCCAAGGTCAAAGCACCTGCAAGAATTGACCCCCACTGAATAAGCTTTCCAAGTAGTTAAAGTCAGACCTTGAGTACAAATTCCAAGTGCGCGAAAGGGATTAAGAATAGGTACCTCCTTGACTAAATCCACAAACAAATATGTTATCAGGACTTATGCCTGAGTCAATCTCTTTGTCTATCATTGCGTGGACGTTTTTCACTGCTTTCAACACAGAATTTTCATCATTTGGAGAATGCTGAAAAAGAGAATAAAGGTAATGTAAGAATATTTTCATACTTCATAGTTCATACTCCAGTAAAGGTACTGTAAGAATAAGTATATGCAATATACTCCCTCTGTCAAATTGGACTCCAATCCTTTGTAGGCATTCCAAAACAATAGGTCACATTCTGGCTTCTAGAAAGTTAAACCTTGAACTTACTCAATTTAGTGAATTTACCCTTAATGCTACAATAAGCCAACAATCCTAAAGAGATGTGGAGTACTAAATTAGTATGGTTAAAATGTTAAAAACTATTGAATAGTGAAGTATACTTGTAGAATTTCACTATTTATGTCATAAAAAATGGCTCATACCCACAAGTTCCTAACTATTGAACTTCTCCATTATTTAAGACGGAGGGACTATTACATAAGTCGGCAGCCAGGAATGTCAATGTCTTGCTAAGGATAACAGCAAAGTTGTTATAACACAGCATTTACCCAACAAGTATGCCAAAATGAGGTAGTGACTGGTTAGCCATAGATCAGACCAAAGTCAAGAAACTTCTAGCGTCTTTTCTCCAAGAAGCTAATACGTAACAGCTAAAAATGAGTGATGATACTGATCAGAACAATAGTAAAGCTGACATGGGGCACACAGATGAGCTACATACATTTTATTCAATCTGAAGGGCATTGAACTTGTGTTAGTGATTAATCAAAAAATTGCTAAGTGAATAGAGCATGAGAATAACACTGAGCTGAGTTGGATTCAGATTTTCTTTACATGGGAGGTAGTATTACATAAGTCCCCAAGCAAATTTCACATTAGATGTGATCAATTAAGAGATAAATCAGTCTCATACTCTCATTTGGCTCAAAAATTTTCATTCTACAAGCTTGGAGCCTTGAGTCAATGCAACTAACATGTACACCTTGTTTTATGAAACATAATATAGACAGAGGTAAAGCAGACAGCATATCTTCCGTACAGCTCCATAAATTATCTTATATAACACAATATTCCTCTATATATTTTATTTACTACACACAATGAATGCTAATTCCTTTTGAAAAATTCCTCTTCCTTGCTTTGATTAAACAACTAGAAAAGAATGAGGCTATTGACTCTGATTTGAGCACAGAATGAATGTTGGCATATAAGAAACTTGCAAGCAATTACTAAAGGACCACTAGTCTTGGTTTTCAAGGAGTTGTTAAAAAAACACACACACACACTCTTGGTGATCAAGGAGGCCTCTCTAGTTTCAGCTACATGATGCCTCTAAAACAGATTCAAGAGTGTAAGTCAAAGCTTTACAATTTTATAGCCTTGGGAAACTTTAAGTTCAGTCTTAAATACAGATCAGCGGGCTAAGGGACTATGGAGTCTTCTGTCCAAGTGTTTCAGAAATTATCCTTGTGTGTGATCGACTCAAGCTTTGTTATGAGACCCAGAAATCATCATACATGCATATAGCCTTTTTTATCAGCTTTCTAAGGATTGTTATTGGATACAGTGTCAAATATGTCCAGATGGGGGATGTGGAACCCAAGCGAGCTTGCTTTAAGTTTGAGGAGCCACAGGTTTGCAAAAGAAAATTATCAACTTTTTTCCTTAAGGATATCGGGGTCAACTAATGTTGAGTTTAGTGCCATCTGTGGTTTGGGGCCTTCGAAAGAGCTAAGAAGACTTCATCCAGCCTTCCATTGAGGTTCCCTCCCAGATCACAAATGTATATCTTATCCACGAGTTATAATCTAAAACTTCAAAACCTACATCCTCAACACGTATTTGTCATGGCCGAAATACATCCACAATAGTCAGGGGAGACTACCTGTGTACTGAGAAGGATTGGGGCAATCCTTTCCAACACATTTCATCAATGGTCTCCTGGAAAATTAGAAATAAAAAATCTAACTTCCTTAGGTGAGTTATATTACTTGAACTTTTTTAGCCTTGGTTACAAGCCCTGACCATCAGTAGCAGTGTAGCACAACTACCTTTGGCAATTGTAACTAGCTATGAGGACTTGTCAAGGGCATCGGCTAATGCCTATAACATTCCCTAAGCTTTGTTCAGAACAATGTATTGAATGATATGATTGTCAGTTTTTTAAATTCTTTTAAAACAGTCACACAAAAGTGAGGCAAAACTAACAAGTGAATATAAAGAATAACTAGAATGAGTAGCTTACAGCCGTCACTGGTATCTCAGGAATGTCGAACCATGAGGGCATGACAGCGCCATCTGCAAAGAAAAAGCAGGCTATCCGCTTAGCAAAAATGTTATGACCCGTGACTCTAGAGCAGAAATTTCAGGAAATAAGTTTATAGTGAGAAAATCTATCAGGCTCCCAAAAAAAAAAGGGAGAGAAAGAAGAATTGGGCAACGGAGAAGTGGAATCGACATTCAAAGTTTTTCCAGAATTTTATAAATGAACAATCTGGGAAACCTAAACTCCATCTTGTATAATTTAGAAAACATATGGAAATGGACATGTATAAAACGTTTAAGCAACTTTCTAATATGTAAATTTTATCCTTACAAGCAACTTTCTTAATTCTTCATACTTATCTCCTAGGTTGGAGTAGGATCCTGATGGTCAAGTTCTGTAGTTGCTTTCCTAGAGAATGTCATTTAAGTAACTAAGACACTAACAATAAACAAAAATAAGGGTTTGAAACAGGATGAGTTGCCTACAATCTACATATATCCTCAATTCATTAGACAAGCAATAACAGAGGATATTGTTTAAGAATTACCAGCTGATGTCTTTCCTGACAACCTCCATGGACCATGGACATGTATAAATTAGGAAACATATGGAAATGGGAAGAATTTCATACAGAATTAAAAGGAAAAAGAGAAAAAGAAAAAACTAGAATGGCTAATAGCAATCATGATTCAATGAACGTTCAAGTTTTATACCTAGAATGACAACTTTCTATGGTCATACCTAGAATGACAACGTTCAAGTTTTATTACCACAACAGAATGACAATTTTCTATGGTCATACCTATCTCATGACTTTGCACAATACTCATAGGTGCATCCTGGTAATATGGTATACCTAGAGCTGTGTACCCTAAGGCTTTTTGCTAATTAGAAGATCTTCAAATGAACCTTGGATACACCTAACTCAAAGGGGGGTGATCAGCTAGAATTACCGTCCACAAACAGAATAATAATGTAAACAATGCAACATAGCTTATCACCATATAACTCTTATAATCCGATCCCAGTCAATTGTTTCCCTATCCTAAATGGCGGCATCTAAATCTTTTACTATCACCATATAGCTTTGATCTTTTACCCTATGCTCAAATCCTGACAAGTTAAGCTGTTCCATGATCAACATCAAACCACATTGGAACTAATATTCGAAAATCATTGTTAAACCATTACACTTAATCCCTGCACACTGATAAATTTCCTCTTACCCACACCAAATGTAAATTGAAAGATGTAACCCAAATAAGAGAAACATCAATTCCTCTTTCACACTCAAAACACACTTCTTTCTACTCCACAATAAGCCGCAATCTCAGACTACAACCAGATCACTCAATGCAGCCATCCTTCATTCATATTCTGAATTCCCAATTCCTAGTATCAATCAAATCAGACACAAAATCAATTCAGATGTTCAGCAAAGAATGAGATACCCATAAACAAAATTTATATTCCGTACAAGATTCAACAACCATCAACATAAAAATGCTAAATTTTGTAGCAAATTCAGAAACTTGACTATCGAAATAAAACAAAACAAAACAAAAAGTCATTTTTTCACTCAGATAAAAAATCAAACACATAATAGAGATACACACAAAACACTAAATTAAACACCCATAAACAAAATTAAACAAAGAATAAAAAAACCATTACCAATTTTGTTCATAACCCACAAACAAAAACTGCCAAAATCAGCAAAAATTCAGATAAATTAAAAATAAAAGTAAGAGCTTACAATTGCAGGTAACTGGGTTTGGTGGGGCAGAAGGGAAGGACCATTTGGAGGAATTAAACTCAGGAGAAGTGAAGAAACCTTTGATGGGTTCGTTGGCTGGTCCAGAATCACCCAACCCATGAAGCCATAGTATGAAGCTCCTGCTTCGACCCGCTGCCATTTGCTTCTGGTTCGGGTTCGGGTCTGGATTGGATTAGTGATGAAGATGAAAAGGAGGGTGATAAAGAGTGAGAATATGAGCACTGCAATTGGCTTTGCTAATAGTGAAATTGAGCTCGCTACCTTCATTTATCTCTCCTGATTTTCCATGGAGTTTTTCTGCATTCTTTCGTTTTCTTTACTGATTCTTCGATTCTCATTTTCAAATACCCAAATTGCCCTTTTCTTTTCATTTTTTAAAATGGTAAATACTCCATCCATTTTTAAATACTTGCTCCATTTCTCTTTGACACGCATGCCGATGCTAATCTTTGATCACTAATATCTTTAATTACATTTAAGTATAAATTCTAACAATTGAAAATTAATAATCTATTTATTAAGATGATTCCAACAAGTACCCACAAGACTATATTTTTTCTTATGTATAAATCACAAACATTAGTCAAAGTAGGATAAATGAATAGTGCAAAAAATAGAAATGGAGCAAGTATTTAAAAACGGAGGGAGTAGGATTCTGACAAGATTTCAACCATCACAGATTTTTTTGGTCGAATGTCTAAGGGCTAAATATTATCTTAGGGAATAGGATCTAAAAGCGCCTTAGTATGTTACATATATTATCGGATTCTTTCATCTTTATATTAGGTAAAGATACGCGATAAAACTATGCATTGAGAGAGCGTAAAATTATATGTCGGGCATGAATTAGATCATTTCAACAATTAAATAAGCCTCCCAAATTTCCTTGAAAGCATGTGAAAAGCCTCATTGTCTAACCTTTTGAGATTCAAAAATGGTATACATAAGCTAGATTGAAGGCTATACACGAAATCGGGTCATATTCAAATAGTTTGGGACTCGATTACAAAAACTCGAGTAGTGATGGACATATCTCAAGATCATACAAGATTGTTTGGAACCAATATCGACCACTAATTAGTCACATAAGATTGAAATCATCACATTAATGCAATAATTCGAGGTATCACCCACGTCCAAAATAGGTAGGCTTGTGAACTTGAAATTTCGTTCAAGTTTGTTTGTTTAGTAATGAACTAATTATCAAGCCTTGACTAAGTTCAGGAGCTACTCATTGGAATCCTAAGTTAAATCTAAATTAGTTGTTTACAAGTGTCTTGGCTCATTGACGTTACTATTTACTCCCATTTTTAAAAACTTACTCCGCTTTCTATTTTCGTACGTTTTTAAATAATTGCTCCATTTTATTTTTTTGGAAAGCTTTTAGTCTTTTACAATATTTAAATCATTTCTTTCAACTAGTAGAGCCAACATTAATCATATTTTTATTAATTTCATATTCTATTTCCTCTAATTTTCTCCACTAATTTAGTTTTTTAGAAATTTTATTATTCCGCCCACCCCACTACCTCCATATTTTATTAATTTTTCTGGTTTCTACATATTCTCCGCACATAAAAATTTGAGCAAGTATTTAAAACCGGAGACTTGGAGAGAGTATATTTCAATATTTACTCCCTTCTTTTTGTGATTATCGCAACACTTTTTTTTAATCGTTTCAAAATAATTTTCTAAAAAAAAAATAATTTAATCATTTTACCCATTGATGAAAATGGAGAGTAGGGCCCACGAGGTGCACAAATTGAATTGGACATAAGAACCGGAGAATTTTCACCGGCGAACCGCTCTCTTTTCACCTTCTTCTCAAACCCAGACTCCCAAAACATTGAGGAGAGATAATAGAGTTTGAGGAGAGAGAAAGTTGAAGATAATTCATGGCGACTTCAAAGCTTCAAGCTTTATGGAATCATCCTGCCGGCCCTAAAACCAGTAATCCTCTATTCTTCTTGCAATTGAGAAAAAAAAAAAAAAAGATTCAATTTTTATTCTTTATGCTTTTGGTTTCCCCAATTCAGATTTGCGATGTTATTGATTTTTCCTGATTTCCCCCTAACTTTGTTTGGTGTGATTGATATTATAAGAACTTTGGATGAAAATTTAGACATTGATTATAAGGGTTGATGTGTTTCCCTCGAAAATGGGTTGTTATATGTTCAATTGAGCTGTACTTTCAGTTGTTAATGATTTCCGATTAAATTAGCTTTATACTTAGAATAAGATGTAATTGATCATAAAAAAAAGTGACTTTGATGGATAATGTAGGGATTCTTGAGCTTAATTTTGATTTATGAAAATTATGGAGTGTTGGGAAGCTTAGATCAGAATTCAATTAATTCTGTTTCATTTGGTTGATGGCTCGGTGTCTTGGTGTGGATTGATTATACTTCGTACAAAGGATTGCTGAATTGCTATGGTGGAGATTGGGATTATGTGTGAAACTGTCATTACTTCAATTAGGCATGCTCATAGTGCTACTAGTGTCAAATACGGGTACGTGTTTAGGTGTCGTACTTGACCATATAATGATAATCTTGCAAGCTTTTGTTTATTATGAAGTGCATTGTGCAAAGTTGCAAATTAGAGTGTTGAGTATCCAACATGGATGCTTGAGGTGATATGAAGAGCCTGATTAATTAGATGGTGGACTGTTTAATTTTGGGGGTAATTTGTTTGGAATTGGAGCATATGGTCGCTTAGATGGTGCAGTTTGTGTTTGTGCTTATGGGTGATTGTTTGGTTAATAATAGGTAAATTAATAGGGAAAAAATTATGATTGTAGCATATAGTGTTAATATTTAAGATAGACGTAGAAGGATCCTTTCATGTATAGTATATTTGTCAAATTTTGTCCACTTGGGTGATATTTTGCCAAAATGATCTTTTGTCAAAGGAGCATTTGTGCTGAATAAGTGTGAAAACCAATTTGAGGATGCTCTAGCTCCAAATGCCATCCCTTGTAAAAATCATATGAGTAGTGATAACATGAAAATTGACCGTGTTTCACTGCCCTTGAATAATGGCAAATGCTTACTGAATGATGTTTGATGCCTAGATAGCCTGTCGAATGTCAAATTCTTAGATATTTGATACAAAAATATGAATTTTTTTGGAGGAAAGAGAAAAGGTTACTAAGTGGTTGGATGTTAAAAAGTTTATGGACCAAAGTACCAAACCCTCATTATGCTTCTTCCCCCCTCCCCCTCCAAAGCAATCTTTTGATTTTCTCCTTCTAGATTTAGTTGTCATAGCACTAGCTCAAATTGTATCACAGTTACTATCATCTCCAAATAGAGTATAGCAAATTGATAAACAGAAGCTCTTGTTTCGCTCTTTTTGTATTGTGTTGATGGATGAGAAATAAAACTTGCCTTTAGGTGTGAGGGACATCAGTTGAGAGTATTCTATATGGAAGTTTGAACTACATCTGTCAATAGGATTTTCTGAAGCTGAACTTCTATATAAAAGTTGGTGCATCATAAAATTTGAGTAAAGATTCTGACTAGAATTAGTCTCATATGCTAGGTATCAATATATTAAACTAGGGACATGATAGCAAGAATGTGATTAATTCTCATTGTTTCTTGCTACTTTTAATGATTAGAGTCCATGGACTCATCCAATGACTTGTTTTCCATTGCAGTTCATTTTTGGGCTCCAACTTTCAAATGGGGCATTAGTATAGCCAATATTGCTGACTTTGCCAAACCACCAGAGAATATTTCATATCCTCAGCAAATAGGTATGTGTCTTTGCCTGATACAATCAGCAGGCAGGCATTCTGCACTACATTATTAAAATGAATAGTGCCCCTCCTCTCTTTCTCCCCCAAGGCAGGATTTTTTTTTGTCTATGCTCCTTAATCCTTATGTTTTTCCTGATGTCCTTTTCCTTGTCCTGCTCAGCGGTCACAGCCACTGGAATCATATGGTCTCGCTACAGTACTGTAATCACTCCTGTGAGTTTCTTTTATCTCTTTTACTGCTACATGGAAAAATGTTTTCAGTGATTTTGTTTATTTAGTAGTTTATTTCATTCTATGGTTTGTAAATTGTAAGGATTTAGCTTCATTAGTGCAATATTATTTACATTAGATTTTCCTCAAACATGATATGTAGATGTACACAACTCCTGATATAGTTCTTGTTGTTACTCCTATTTGGTAGTACTGTTTACTGTAGTCTTCTTGTTGTGTTTTAGTCACCTGCAAAACTTTTTAGAATCTACTCATTTGATAGACTTTGGTTGCAAGTTCTAAATGTGCTATATTCACATTAATTACATATACAGAGTATATGTTTGTAGATTGCCTGAATGCTTGAAAAAAAATTCAACCTACCTCACTACTGTAGCCCTAGGTTGATGGTGAAATGCTTACCCCAATGAGGCTATGATCCAATATGATCTTTTTGATGATCAATTGAAAATTTTCTGTGACTTAGTTCTATGTTGCTGTAATAGATTAACATTAGGGAGGGAAATTTGGGAAACTTAGTACTTTTAGGTTAGTAGTCACTTGACCTTAGTATAAATAGGGATAATATATGCAGTAGGATGGCATGTGAATTGTGAGGAAAAATGTTGAGAGTAGTAACCTCAAGTTACTAGGAGAGTGATAACCTAAAGTTATCAAGAGAGTGATAGCCTTAAGCTATTATTAATCTATCCTTTTGTACCCAAATTCTGCCATTATTAATCTAAATTGTCAAGCTTTCATCTCTTAATTAGTCGTTAAATCAGAAAAACTAAGTCAGTCCATAACAGTTGCCCTAATATATTCCATGGAAGTAGCCTGTTAAGGCATATTCCTGCTCAGTGTATACCAATCTGGCCTTCTGGGGGCTCCATGTTGCTGAAGAAATACCAAAAATCAATTCTCTCTTTTCATCACTTCCTTCTTCCAATATCAAAAATTTGTTGCAGCTTGATGCCAAGCTTTGATTTGAATTTGTGAGGGTCTACTTAATCTTTTAATTTTAAACTTGGCACTTTGCAAATAAATTTGACATATGGATGCTGTTCATGCGCTGAGGACATTGGTGTGGCTAATTGTTTATACTTCAATCCAGCAACTTACATGTAATTTCATGATCTCAATGCATGTGGTAGTGGCCTAGAGGCTATAGTATTAATCAAAACAAACTTGGAATCCCCAGCTCAAACTGGTCAAATGTCACATTACTAAAGATAACCCTTCATTCAGTTGATCATTGCTGCTCAAAGTTTTTTTTCTTTCGTGTGTATTAAATTAGATAAAGTTTTATCTCTTCATTGAAAGTGGTTGAAAATTGGTTGGAAGGAGAGTGATTGAATTCTGTCTTTGATCTTGTTCCATGCTTAATTTATGCTGGAAGTTAAATCACATGAAGTTTTCTCTCTTCAGACCAGTCTGAAATTGTTCCGAGTTTTTCTTACCTTGTTCTTGATCCATGCTGTTTTTCTTGTCCTACTCCAAATCATTTTGGGACTAAGGCTTTGTTGGTGTTCTTGAATCTTGATCCATGCCTTGATCATGCTGACCTATCATTTACTCCTGGTTACAGAAAAACTGGAATCTTTTCAGTGTAAATGTGGCTATGGCTGGAACTGGTCTCTACCAACTTTCCCGAAAGATCAAGTAAGTCTACTCCCTTCTTTAAATTATGAATTTCAGTTGTATTACGTCTTTGAACAACAATAGCAAGAGGTTTTGGACACTTTTTTTTCTCGATATTAAAGAACCTGGTCACTCACCTTGCTAATTAATCTTTTTAAGGTCAGTGCTAACTTGTATTTCTATGATATTTCAGGCATGACTATTTCCAAGAGGGAGAACCTGTTGCTGCAAAAGAATGACTACGAAAAGCAAAAGAATAACAAACCAAAACACAAAAGTTTGCCATAATTTGGCTTAGATTTGCATTTATCCTGTTTTTGCTGATGAATATGACCGACAATGTAATGTTTTCTTTTTAATGTATCCCATTTTAACACCAATTTTGATGGGGGCAATTCTTGAGCAAATTGTGAGGCACCTGTAAGGCTGTAATGTACATTTCAGTCCGTTATAAATCTGAAAATACATGTTCCTCAGATCAGAGTTGTTGGAATCATAATGTTTCTGTTTTTGTTTATATTGTTTGATTAGGTTACAACTACTTTTATTGCTCAAATTTCACTAATTTGGTTGATATCGTTCATCATCATCTCAAGTAAAACATCTATGCTTCTAAAGCAGGCAAGTTAAGTTGGGAAAGGACCCTTGTAGGCAAGTCTCATAAAATTATACAGTGTATTCAAGTGTATATACAATCTCTCCGTAACCATGCAAAACAGGAGTATAATCATTTCAAACTCATGTCAATACTTAACGCAAGCACATTATAGGCTCTAATATGTCCATAACCAATCTACTCCGAAAGTCCAATCCAGTCTAACTGCAGTTCTTGATTCAATAGGAATAGAAGGGTATTATTTGTGAGACGTAAAATATTTCTTTTTTTTTTGTTTGAGGTCATGTAAAACATTCCTTTGTTGCACATTATAAACAGAGGTACTCCGTAGTAATGATAATAAATCAAAGATTTCGGCCAAAATTAACTTCCCAAATTAATAAAAAAAATGTAGGCACTTGTAGACGCATAGCAGCTGGAAAGCGCTGTAAAGCCTGTAATGCCTGGAAAGTGTCGCAAAATAAATTAATTAATGTGACGAGAAGGGTCTCTTAAAATGGCTTTTATTTATGCCATCTCCTCTTCTCTCCCTTCTCAATCCCAATTTTTTTTTCACAAAAAAAAAAAAACATTATGACTATTAATAATTAATCAAGATTAAAAAAATTATAGTAAGATTAAGAGAAATAAAAAATTTAAGAAGCTCGGTAAGCAGTAACGTTGATCAAAATTAACAACAAACGGTCAGATAGCTTCTAATTTGTTATTGCTACAGCCATTTTGGCAAATCAAGAGATTGATAAGAGTATTAATTTTAAACTCTTCTCTTGGTACAATGCAGCTCAATAGTGATATTAAACTTCAATGGGTATAAATCAATTGAAATTTAGATAGAAAACCCAGATAATCTTGAAGAAAAAAGAGGAAAATAATGAATTTTTGTTTAAAATTTACTGAAAATTCGAAAGAAGATTGAACTTTTAATTTTATGGGTGTATAAGAGAATGAAGTAAAAACAAAAACCCAGATGATCTTGAAGAAAACAGAGAGAAAAATTGAATTTTTTATCATAAAAATTATGAATGGAGCTTAAAGTTGGCGGCTTTTAGGGTTGAGACTTGAGAGTGAGATATGAATGATGAAGGGATACATGCTCATATTTATATTCGATGATTTCATGAGGGATGCTTTTGTTTAATGGGCTAGGTTAACTTGAACCCTTCATCCTAATAATGGGTGTTTTTTGGGTAGTTTAGCCCATATATCATACAAGGATATGGTATTATAGTGTAAGCGTGGTTCCTTGACCCTTTGTAGTTTGCCAAGCATGGTGATCCCATTGGAGCGTCGAGCACACTCACATGGCGTTATGTGTCAGCCTTATGTTATTAAAACACTGAACACTGGTGTAAGTTGTGTTATCCTAATATTACGGTAAGATACGGAAGTGCCCCTCCTATCATATGAAGGGTTAGGGGTGAGAATCAAACCCTGATCACACCAGGGGGAGATAGAGAGACTAACCATCCCTCCATTCCTTAAAACATTAACCTTTGTTTAAGCTAGTAATAACATACACTTTTAAAGTTTTAGATGATATGATGATCTCTATTAAATGGAGTATCTTAATCATGTATCAAGGGTTGTGCCCACTACCCGAACATGATGGGTTTTGAGTTTTTGAGCTTTATGATAGGGCATGGATTCATAATTATTCTATGCCAAATCCCCAACTCCTAAGCATTGAAAGTTTCAAACAAGTGTAACTTAATAAAGGTTTGACTAGTAGTTGGGCTCATGTAAATAATTATCAAACAATTTGTATCACCGGTACGACTAGACCTAACATGTCAAACACGGGTCTGGGACGCACCCGCTAACCAAGAGAGATAATCCACTTCACAAGTCCAAGGAGGTTCCTTCCCAAAACCATATGGCAATAGGAGGAGTAGCCCCTTAGCCTTATAAAGTGTTTAACTCTCTCTTCTTCAACCAATGTGGGACACTTACATGTGGTGAAATTTGAGAGGTTTATTCTTCAACACTCCCCCTCAAATGTAAGGTCCCTTTTAACTTTGTCTCATGTGATTTTTCGGGCTAGAGTACTTCTTCACTCCCCCTCATACAGACCTACTCTTGGCCTAGTGAACTTTAGCCATTTAAGATCCCATATCGTGGGCCTGGCTTTGATACCATGTCAAATTAGAGAGAGTTAGAAAATATGAGAATGGAATTGCTTCCTTTCATTGATTTACCTTGGGAAATATATAGAGATACAAAACCAATCCTAGTTCTAGTATCATAAGATATCTTAGGATCTTTGGAAAATAACTAAAATAGATAAGATAAATATATGGAAAATATTCTAAATATTCTACGTTACCAAATCACACAAAGATATGATATGATCTCAATACCCCCCTCAAGTTGGAGCGCTCGGATCGTAAGTGCCCAACTTGGAAAGAAGATAATCAAACTGTGTTTTCCCAAGAGCTTTTGTAAAAATATCCGCAAGCTGTGAAGATGTCGGAACATGAGATGTAGAAATCCACCCCTCTGTAATCGCATCGTCATCACGAACAACGTGACAATCAATCTCAATGTGCTTTGTCCGTTCGTGAAAAACCGGATTCTTTGCAATGTGCAGAGTTGCTTCATTGTCACAAAATAACTTAATTGTCTTTGGATGTTGTACTCCAAGACTCAACAACAAAGCCTTCACCCATTTTAGCTCTTTAGAACACTAAGACATGGACCTATATTCGGCCTCATAAGAAGAGAAAGAAACAGTAGGTTGCTTCCTAGTTTTCCGGGAAATAGGAGATCTTCCAAGGAAAACAAGCCAACCAGATAAAGAACGACGAGTCAGAGGGCAAGCAGCCCAATCTGAATCACACCAACCCTGCAGATTTAAATCACAATCAGAGCTCAATAAAATTCCTTGTCCGGGAGTCCCTTTCAAGTATCGAACCACCCTCATAATCAATTGTAGATTAGGTTTGATAACTTTAAATTACTCCTTTTGTTTTTTTAATTGGAACACTTTCTATAAATGACTGTCTTATATTAATTGCAACACTTAAATAGAAACACTTTACATCACTCTATATTTTATTATATCTCTATTCACACAATCCCCATTCCCACCTCACTTACATTAATTTTTTGAATATTAACTAACTACAAAGTATTAAACTATTCATCCACCATCGCCTTTTTTTTTTTTAATTCTCCAACAATTTCACTAACGTACACAATCTATAACTAATACGGAGTACTAAAGTAGAAACCGCTGACATCATTCCCTTCCTAAATTGCACACATGTCATGCTCTCATAAAATAAAAATTTTTGCCTAAATATATTAATGACATCATTTTATTATTATTATTTTTTTCTTTTGTGTTAAATCCTTCCATCTATTATGCCTAAAAAATAGTACTCCTTATTAGATATTTACCAATCTCAAAGACAAAAAATCAAGAATATTCCCATTTCCACTGATTATTGAAACCCTTATTGATTTTCTTCTTTCTCAATTGTGTTGTTTTGTCCCCTCTTTGTTAATTTTGTATGCCTCCATTATTATTTTAATATTTAAATTTTCGCTTATTTTGTGCAGTTATAATTGATTCTTTTATTTTATGATTTTGATTAATATTCAATGTAATACAATTGTTTTATTTTAATAAATTTGTATTTATTAATCAATTTGAGTTTTTTTTTTTTGGTTAAACCGTACATCGTACGAGAGCTAAATTAGTATTTAACAAACCAAACTCTCAACTATAAGAGTGAAAAATAACTCAAGTGGTTAAAGATCGATTCTCATATAAAATTTTGTGCCGATCAAAGTGTTTTTTTTTTTTTTTTTTAAGGACACAAAAGAAAATGCGTAGTAATTTTTTGGTCCGGCCCATAACAAAGACTCAATTTCATGAAATAATTTCCACATGCCAAACCCGTGATCCCTTCATAAACAAGCCACCGTAAAAAGAGGAGAGAGAAAAACTAACAACAAAAGAAACCAAAATTGTTACGCCTGTTTTCTATTTTCCGGCGAAAACCCACCGTTAAATCCGCCGTCGATCCACAAAACCGCCATTAATGGAGGGAGTCGGAGCTCGGTTAGGCCGATCTTCTAGCCGTTACGGCACAACCACCGTCTTCAACGGCCCCGTTAGAAAATGGAAGAAAGAGTGGGTCCCAATACCCCCTTCTTCTTCATCTTCTTCTTCCTCAAATTCAAATCACCATCATCATCATAGTAGTAGTAATCATCATCATTCATCCTCTAATGGCGCCGTTAATGGCAGTAATGGTAACAGTGGGTCCCATCTTCGTCTTTACAAGTGGGCCCCTGTTAATAAGGAGAATTCTAATTCGAGTGATAATAATATTAATAGTAATTCTAAGATTAGTAATAGTGATGCTAATGTTGTTGTTGTTGTTGCTAATGGGAGTAAGAATACTTCTACTGTTGACGACGTCGTTTCTGAGGAGCCTCCCAGAAGAAAATTCAAGTATATTCCGGTAATTTTTCCCCTTTTTCTGTTTGTGGGTTGTTACATATTTGATTTTTATAGCTTAATTGATTGATTTTATGGAAATTTCTGCTGATGAATTGAGGTGGGTATGGGTTGAATTTTTGTCTTGATTTTTACCTGCAGATCTTTTTGAGAGAATGGTTAAATTATTGTTTTATAATTTTATTGGAGATTGGGGTGTTTTAATTTGCTTTAATTGTTCCTGAAGTTGATGAATTGAGGTGGGTTTTTGGCTTGAATTTTGGGGGAAGCTTTATTGGGGATAGTGCCCTTAACTTTTGGAAAATTAGGGTAATTTTAAATGCATTAATTGCAATCTATGCTGTTGTTTTGAGGTGGGATTCTTTCAATTTGTTCTTGTTATAGGTCACAAGCTGCGATTTTTTTTTTTTTTTTCAGCAAAATTTTCTGGTTGCCTATGCTTCAAATTCTTAGAGGTAGATTGGATTTGAGCTTGTGGATTTGCTTTGATTATGGAAAGAAAACCAGGCAGACGACATATGTCGTTTCGGATGGATGGAATACAGTATCTTTCTTTGATTGGCAAAGAAGGGATCAATGTAGCTATAAAGAAGATTCAGGGTTTAGTGCAACTTGATGAATAATTGATTTCATAGTATTTAGAAGCTAGGAAGGTGACTGGTTTGAACTTTGAAGTATACTTTTGTATTGTAGAATATGTCTTTTAAGGTAGGAGTATATATATTTTGCTGACACTTGGCAATATTATAGATTGTGTAAGATAGCCTCTTGATTAAAAGTTTTTAATGTACTTTGAGGCATTCAACTTATCACAGGGGTCATGGTGTCAATTTATTAGTATAATAGCATGTGCTTTTGATGAGGTCATACCCTACTTAAAAAAGTATAAACCAGGCTGAATCCTGAAATTAATGTGATCATATCTGTTTTCTATCATCCAACAAATAAATCCAGAAATTGTGAACATTTTATCATTACTATATTTGGAATTGAATCTTTAATTATGTTTTTAGTGGTCATGGTTATTCGATATATGATGGAAGGACTTTTCTGGTTGCAAAGCATCAGTTTGTGGGCCAGTTGTTGTACTTTGTTATTCTTTGTTTGCAAAGACCTAGGAACTTGTATTGTTGGAAGAATTTTTTGTTATTGCTCTCTTTTTTGGTCACTGGAAGTTACTCACGACTGGATTTCCAAGTATGTTTAGTGCTTGCGCTTTTATCCTTTGGTCCGAGTTTCTTTTGAGAAATTAGAGGGGTGATGGTGAGGAGAGGGCACTGGGAATGGATGAGTAGAGTTGATTAACAAAGGAAGATCTTTATGGTTCAAAGAGTGTTCATCCCCTGTTAAGTTATGCTGATGATCAAGATTATTAAGGTTTTATGTGGATTTATGGTGCTGTACAATTGTCCTCTTAAGTTGGTCTTGATACCTTTTTTTTTTTTCCAGTTTTGTGGCCCCCTTTTTTCATGAGTAGGTTGCACCTTGAAGGTTAGAAATAAGATTATAAGAATTCTGTTATGTGGACGATAATGTTGGAAGTTTTGTGTCTGAAATTTCCCTTTCCCCTGGCATTGAGTTGATTTCTGACAGCATTAGAAAAAATGTGATGAATTTGTGATTGTACTAATGAAGTAATACTAGCAGTATGTGCTTATATTCATAGATCCCTTGTTGAGTATGATGTCCTGAATTATGATGGGCCTATTGAGTTGTGATTTTTGAAGCCTGTTGGCTGTTGTAGTATCTTGGAGTTTGGCTGCTTGAGTATGCAAATGTTAACTGGAGCATGTAGTAAATGTTTGGTATCAACAGGGAGACTTTATGTGGGCAGTACCCTTAAGTAATTATTGTCTATTAGTTTTCTACTATTTGTGGAATTTTATGCAGTAAACTAGATGGTCTACTACAAATCTACAATGCGAAAATTTGTAGTTATGTAATTCGGCGTTAAGCCTAGAGTTGAATTAGGTTGTTTTCTAGTTGAATATGAATGTATGTCATGAGAGAAAATATAAGTTGTAACAGTGGACAAAGCCAAAATTTGATTGTTTGGACAGACACGGTGTAGAATTCAGTTAGGAGATTGGATTAGGTGATTAGGGTTTGATATAGAACTCGTGTGATAAGGGTGATCTTTAGAGTGTTGTAACTCAAGTACTCAACATGTCATATACATCATTGATAGACCTATTGCATTGTTTGTTAGTTTTTCTGTTGGTTCTTGGGTTTATTGTTGTTACCTGTGTTTAAATCCACAGCAATGCTTTCATATAACTCAATATGGAAGCCGCAATCCTTAACAGGCCTATAACTTGTAAAGTTGGATTCAGTTAATGAAAGATTGTCTTATCTCCTTTCTGCTTAGTTACCTTATTTTTCTTTAATTTCTAGGACTTGGAGGGAGCTAAATTTGCATTGCAGCTTGTGGAAGTAGAGGTGTTTGATTATTGATTGTCATGTACTCAAATATTTAGTTGACAGGTCAGAAGTGCTGCCTTAGTATTTGTTTTGCTACTGATAGAGTAGTGTTTAATGTAAACTGAAAAAAATGTGATGATTGGGGCTTGTATTACCTCTGATATAGCTTAACAGAATATACTGGTGTGTACGTTATGGAATGTCTCAGGAGTGGCAAGATTACTGTGAGTCGTATAAGATGATGGAAGTACAATATTCTGTGGCAAAGGGTGGAGTAAAAAAATAAAAAAATTCGCTATTATTATAGCTATTCTTTTCCAGCTCCCTTGGCCACTAATAGACCTTTCCAGACCTTGGCGACATTGGACCCATGATTAGTTATAGTGGTTTCGAGCCATTTATTTCATTGTGATTGTCAAGTTTCAAAAGCATGGCTTTGGGAAGGATAAATTGCTCCCGAAAATTAATCTATTGATTCTCTCCCGAGTTGTGGACTGAATGTCTAAACTGTGGATCTCATAGTATATTTACCAGTATATGTAGTAGCTTTTACAATTACATGTGACCTATTGTCTTATTCCATGAACTACTGCCACTATTGATGTCTTTAATTGTCTTTCTTGAGTTTCTGGTCCTTTACGTGGCTTAGGAGTTCACATTTTTTTAAGGGTATGTGCTAGTTTATTGACCCTCTCATTTGGATGGAGGTTGAGGATAGAGGTCTTTTTGAAATGGCTTTGATAACCTTTTTTCTATACTGGTGTATTGTGTTTGAGGGGGATGTGGTATTTTAATGACCCTCCTATTTGGATGGAGGTTGAGAACCACGGTCTTTATGAGATGGCTTTGATAACACTGAATTCTGCAAGTATGTGCTATCAATCTATCATTCAAGTTACTAAATGTTAAGGCAGAGAGCACCCGGATCATCTATCAATTGGTGTTTCATTGTGTTTCTTTTTCCTTTTGTGGGAGATGATGCATTATGCTAAACTACTCCTTGGGACGGAGTGAGTATAGCTTGATGTGCTATCTCGGAAATGGTTCTGTGTTTCTGATATACACTTTGGGAAAATCAGCCATTTTTTATTTTTGGTAATGTATTTGGGTTTCTATTTCCAAGGTAGTAAGGAAGGTGAATTCTGTCTCTTGTGGCTATCTTGTTATCCACCTTTATAATCATAAATGCACATATCTTTTGACTGTAGTGTGAATTTTATGGTAATGATTGACTGACAAAATCCGTTTCAACATACCTGGTCTTATCTTGAGTCATGTTCCTTTCCCGTAGCGTTGTGTGCTAATTAACCAGATGAACTAATTTCTGCCACACATGGCTTAATGGGTTTTTGAAATATACATGTCTTTTTTGGGATATATAATATGTTGGTGATCCCGTGAGCTAATACTTATAATATACTTAAATCACATCAGTAATACTCCTATCTGGCTGGTTTTGATGTTCATTATTTAAAACCAAAATTTTGATTTGTCGTCTGTGTCAGAAATTTCTTACTGGTGTGTAGTTTCTGAACTCTAAAATGTGCTGATCAACCTAAACTGTGTTATTAAATGTTGGGGAGGCATTTGAAAATGATTAGTTGAACATGTGCACAACCAAGTATCTTTTGATTTTTTTGGAGAATTTGGGCATGATTGTTACGTAAGTTTGATCCTTTATATTCTTAGTTTGTGGCAACAATGAAGTCACTCCATCACCACTCATTTCCCAACCCCCCTCTTTTTGAGCTAAATAAAAAAAACACACTTAAGACAGTTTTTTTTGCTTTGAACATTATGACAGATTGCAGTGCTAGAGGAACAAAAAAAAGAAGCAGAAGAGAATTCTGATGATGATGAAGCAGCTAAGCCTGCTGAAAGTGATGAAAATGTAGGAGAGCAAGAGGCTAAGAGTGATGGTAATGCCGAAAAACCTGACATCAATGATGTGCCCATGGAAGAGAACCAGGTAAATTAGTTTCCATAAACTTGTTCATTCTGATATCTTGAAATCTTGTATGTGCCTCCTGACTAATGTGAAGTGTAATTGTAGTGTATTCTTGTTGTCCAACCAAATCTTCCCTTTGACTTTTGCAGTCTTCATAATCAAACCTTGACAATTGGCCTATATCAATCTATATTAGTAGAAGTGATTAAAAGATGTACAAAACATTTTTGAAAGTATGGTCTAAAAATACACATAATTAATAAAAAACAAAGTTGACTAGTAAGACTAACATGGGATAGGTGGAATATTGTTCATCAGCTTAAATATATAGTTTTGGATGACAATAGAAAATTTTGGCTTTGACTGTCTTCAGGATGAAGAAGAAAACCAAACTGCACCCGGAAGACAAGATTTGAATGAATTGGACTTGAGCCTAGGCTTGACATCACATGATGAGGAGCATGATTCTGACTCTAAGACAGACCCTAAAGCGGATGGTCAACTAGAAAGAGCAAATTCCGGGGCATGAACCAAAGATAGCAGCACACCCAGGAGATCGGCTTAGCCGGCCTTTGTTCTATGATTGCAGGAAATGCAGGTTTTTTCTCTGCTTGTTGTTTTGTTATCTCCAGCAAGTGAGGGAAGTTGCCTGTGAATGTATTATTTAGTCTTCATCTGAATTTTTCATTAACTGAGCTGATTGTATTTGTAACGGTAATTGTGTACTGAAACGATACTACATTCTTCCATTTTTCAACTGATTGATTTCTCTATCTAATTGTTCTAGTGAAGATTTAAGAAAAGTTGTAGCATGTACTATGTTATACTTTGTAGTTTGTACTAGTAGTTAAAATAGTTAATACAGCAAACATTTAGTATTTCTGAATTGATGTTAATTCGGAGTAACCATTTGTTCAATTGTAATTTTGTAGGCAACTTTAGGCATTTTCTACTTCATTGTTACAGTCAGGCCTCACATCTATGGTCTACTTTTTTTTCTCTATACTTCCTACTGTATATTTCTATATTTTTCCGTATTTAATTAATTATTGATCCAAAATGAATTTACTAAACCAACTATTATGAATACAATAAATTCAATAGTTTATACGAGTATCTATTGTTTGAGGGCTTTATAATACGAAGTACTTTGTATTAATTTTATGTAATCCAATGGGTATAAGGTTAAGGTCAAATTAATAGGACTATGTAACGAAGGTTTTGATAGATCGGATAAGTTGTCTTTATATGACCCGACTTACTATTGACCTGCACTGACTCGTCTTTTAACCGCGCCTTGTAACTTGTAAGGTCGTAAGGAGATATTAAAAGAGAGACTTATTTTGGAAATATTTGCTCATAATGTCGCCATCCAAAAATCATGGTTCATCTTTAGCTGCTCATTTTTTTTCTCTCAACGCTATTACGTTCGGCAATCAATACGTAGTAGTAAAGTAAAAACAAACTAGGGACATTTATGTCTTTGTCTTAATTGGACTAATAGTCAACTTTGATCTAGACTGCCTTTATAAAAATTGATTTTCTCGAGTTTAATATAATTATCTCGTGATTAAAAAATTAGAAAGTCAACAAAATATGCACTACAATTGAGCCAAAGTTCTCGTGAATATGCTTAACAAAAGCTCAATCAAGTAATGAACCTAGCTCAAATATTGTAATTTTCGTTATATTGATATATATTTGAAAGGAATTTTATATTTATTTTTGTGTTGTCATTGTAGTCACTATGAAAAACAAGAAGAAAAAAACTATGAAAAATTAGCATTAGAAATTTGTTTCAAAATTTACGTTGCAAACCACTTTTCATAGTTACTATGTAATCTAAGTAATCAAATTTTGACTAAATTTTCATTGATATTATATGATATATTACAAACAACGATAAAACTATTCTGATTATATATAAGATAATATAAATATACCACTAAATGTAGTTGCAACGAATTGAACTAATTCCCGAAAAATTGATAACTACCAAAATTTTGAATTCACTAAATTTACACACAACCTTGACCAATCTTTATTATAATTTATTGTCATTTCCCTTGAAGGACAGAAGCCAATAATCCAACTTTAATTCCATGAACCTTGTTACCAAAATCAACATCCCTGCAATAATAAGAAACCCTAGTGAATTGATCAGCTTCGAAACCAATCGAAGATCTCTTCATGGAAAGTACCTCTTCATCATCCCTCTCGACGACATTATTCTTGGGAATCGAGTCTCGATTAGTCGTTCTCTTGTAAGGGCTAGAGTACTTAGCTTGCAAGTAACCATTGCGCCTCCAAGGTGCAACTAACATGTTTGCATGCTTTAATGACTCCTTCATTGCATTACTCATAATCCTTATTATTTGTTTAAGTACTTGAGTATTTTTTATGATCAATATTGAAGGGATCATTTCTACTAGCGAGGTGTAACGACTTGTAGGTCGCGCTATCTCAAATTCGCCTGCCAAGAATACTTCGACTATGTATCGAGTTTTTCCTACATTCACGTCTATGTACTCGTACGTTCCAGCCGGAAATCGGCCGGTTTTCTCCCACCGGGACTTGCAAAGGCCTATGTCAATTAATTTCGTTAGTAAAACTATCATATGTTACAAAAATACTTGTACAATGTGACATTTACTTCAAATTATCTATGAAATTAAGTCTTGCTTACGTTTGATAAGAGAAATTAAAGGCGAAATTCAGGATAAACCAACTTTTCAATTCATAGAAAATAATCTTTGATACCATATATAGAACATTACTCAATTAATTAAACAAATTTGCATTTATGGACACCATACCATAAATAAAAGATGAGCTCATAATGTCAAATATATTGCTTCATAAAAACTCTATCTTCTATTTTTAAAGTGTGCATTAAATTTTTACCACATTGAAAATTATTGCAAATAAAAGTAAAATTTCAGTTAAAAAAAAATTCAATTCAACCAAAACTCTTGAACCCAATATGAATGTTCATGATTAAATAAAACATATATAAAAATTGAAAAAAAAATAGCATAAAATTAAATATAAAAATAACTTACCAGCATCAAGTCCTTTGTTACGAAGATGAGCCATTAAACTACGTTTAAGGCTACTTCTTGAAACATCATTACCACTACCATTGAAACCACCAAATAATTTCAAGGCAATATCAATTTCATCCCAAATCTTTTGTCTTGTACTCTTTTTTTTACCATTACTTGTACACTCTAACAACAAACTTTGTAACTACTCCTTCCTTTGTGTATCATTATCGACTTCATCATTATCAGATACCCAGTTTGCATCACGAGACTCATTACTATTTATATCACCTTCATCGATATCGATATTAAAGTTATGATCCATTCCGTGATCTCCTTTCTCGATAAACGAGTTTACGAGATCCGAAAGATCAGCTCCGCTTTCCGGCCAATACTCACTCCCGCTACTACTATCACACGGCCTATACCACTTGGCGGCCTCATCGAAGGCCGCCGCTACCCTATTGAATTTGATTGGTATTTTGGCCATTTTTTTTAGATTTATAGTTGTTTTGTTTAATATTGGACAAAAATTTGTTTATATAGAGAGAAAAAATGAAATGAATGAAGAGTTGAGATTTATAATGATGGTTTTATGAAGAGAGAATGAGGTAAAAATGGTGATATGATGTGACATGTATGACAAATATATATATATATACTTGTTTACTTAATTTTTGTTTAACCTTAAACAAAAAATGGGACTTGACTAATAAATTATCCGTGGATTGTTATGAATGTGGACTATGAATATTCCCTTTATTTGCGTAAAGGTTCATTGGTTTTTTCCAATGTATGTGGATTGGTATTGGTCACCAATTCACTTAATTGGTTAATTACAAATTCACAATGTATTTTGGGGGAAAACAATATCCATATATTAAGGATTTTAAGGGATAGGTTATTATCATATGACGTGTCAGATCCGAATATGCAATATACGGAGTTTTTTTTTTTTTTTTTCCAAATACAATTAATGTTATCCAATTCAGCGGTACAAATTATGATATGTCTTGTCATCTTGTGTATAGCTAAAATAATTTATACACGTGTTTACATTTTACAATAATTTTTCATGAAATAAGGTGAACGTAACCAGGACTAAATACCACCAAGATTTATAAAGGCAATTCTACACATTGTATTTGATGCAAGATCTTTAACATCGTTATTAAAATTTTTATTTAGCTAGGTTTATAACTTCATATAATTATATCACAAAGTAATGAAAAAGCTCAAATTAAAATATCATTATTTCACGTATACCGTGTACTTTGTAACTTTTAAACTAGAATAATGATGCATCTATAGGCAAGTTAAATAGTTTAACTAGCACCCTTTTAAAAATACAATAAAATAAGGTACGATAATCCATTCCACTTTATATATATATATATTCAATTCACATATTTCATATGCCATATAACCTTAATATATAACGTAATTCATAAAATTATGCACGAATAGTTGAAGAAGACAATAACACGACATATAGTTATTATGTCATTATATACGAGGAAATATAATCTAGTTTGTTAGTTCTATGAATTCTAATACCATGATTAAATTAAGATGTAAAATGATGGCTATGATTTGTTTATTTTTGTAATGTTAGTTTTAGAATGATCGTATTACTTGAATATAAGTAAGAATGATCGTATTACTTGTAAATTTGTAATGTTGTAGAATGATCGTATTACTTGTAATGTCGTAGAATAGTCGTATGTAGTGACAAATAAACCATGAGTTTATGGTAAATAGAAATGTATTCTGATTTAACAAATTATTACGGAGTACTCCATAGTACTTAGTAGGTTTCCTATGTTTGTGGCAATACTAACACATTTTTAATAATCTGTGTTGCATTTGCATGAACATAAACGATGGTAGTATCATATAGTCACAATTATTTCCTAGGTTTGTGGCAATACTAACACATCGGACTATTAGAGTTGAATGCTAGTATTGTGATTTGCGAAACAATGCACATTCTGTCACTCAGATCGGAGGACAAACAACTCGTCTCGATATGTGTGATTGACCGATTGAATGCTTATCCACTTCTTATTTACTTTCACATTTATATTCCCTACTATCTAGATTTTCTCTTTTGAAAATTTAGAATTTCTTGGCTAAGTAGAATTTAGTTATAAGTGCCTTGATAGGAACGTTTAGTTATAAGTGCGTTGATAGATTAAAATGAGAAAATAAAATGATATACATAATCCTTAAGGTATATTTAATTTAAATTTAGAAAATCGTGACAAAACACACTAATTACACTGATTTACGCCTGTTTTTGTCATGAATTCCTAATTTTATACTCCAATTTTCAAGAGTGTATTAAAATTATACGTGGTCAAATTAATTCACTAAAAAAGCAAATGATGCAACTATTTAGAAATGAACAAGGTCATTAACCACATACAATATAATTGATAAAATGGATCAATTTATCAATATGGAGTAACAATGAGGAAACTAATTTAAATGAGGTTAATGATAATACATAACTATATTGGATTAGTGATTGAGTTATCAAGTAGGCATGAAAATTAAAGAGGTAGTTGTTAACAGTTAGTTTACCAATATATGGTGTTACTAACAAAGTTATAGTATAGAGTCATACATTTTGTTACACCATTGGTTGATTGATTGAGTTATGCCACACGTACGGTATAGTAGAACTCTAGAAGTCCAATAGGCTTACAAATTTACAATGAAGTATAATCCTACATGCATTATTATCCAACTAAAGTACTAAACAGAATATGCATTTTTTTTTTTTTTTTTTACCAAATAAACCCTTTTGAAGTCAGGATAATTAAATAGCCAAAGTTAGGCCTTTTTTTTTAATCTTATTTTGACGCTTATTATAATGAAAATGCGGAAAATGGACGATGTCAAATAGCCAAATTATATTTATCTCTTTTTTTTTTTAATGAAATGTCTTTGTAATATTGTGTCTATGTTCATTGAATCTTTTCAGATTATGTCCACATTCATCTTGTCTAAAAAAAACATTAAACTCTTTCATGTTCCAAGCCACTATAAGCTAATCTTGGTGGACTGGTGTTTGTCTTTAAAATTAAAGAAAAAGTACATATTACTCGTTGTTTGGTGTCCAATTTAGTCAAAATTGGGCCGGAGCACTAAATGATCCAATTAAAAGCCCAAGGTCAAGGTTCAACTCTCCAATTGCTCAAAAGTCAAAAGTCAGCCCACAAAGTAAGCCAATTGGGCTAAAGCCCAACCTCTCCAAGTATGACAAGGTATAAAAGCCATCATATTAACACATTCAAGGGGACATCACATATACATTGATATTCCATTTCATATGCTCATTCTTGCATTCAGGAATATTCCACAAAAGCCTCAAGCTACAAACTCTCTTGCATAGTGTCTTCCTTTTACACATTGTACTGACTTTAGCATCGGAGGGGCCTTCCTCGGAAACACCCCCGAGGCTAGTTTACGTGTGTTCACTGTGCAGGAAACCTTCGGCCCAACACAACTTGGACCGAATCCAGTCTTCTCCACTTCAGCGGACCTTCGGCAAGGTCCCATTGTTTTCAACCGAAACAATTTGGCGCCGTCTGTGGGGAAGACTTTCAAAAATCTTTAAGCCAAATTCCTAACCAAGATCATCTTGCAATTATCTTAGCAGCCATGGCTAAGAACCGCAAGAGCAAAAGCCTCCGTCAAGGAGCGGGCGAAAAGCCTAAAACCCCTACACCATCGCCCTCGCCGGACCGGAACTCTCCCAAGGGTGCCGGCTCGGGGGGAGGATCACACAAGGAGGATTCCCTATCTCCTATAATGCATGACTCTCAATATAGGCCGGACCACTCTCGGTCTAGCAGGGGTCAGTCTGATCATAGGACATATTCAGTGTCCCAAAGCCAATCATCGGCTGCACGGCCTCATTACCACACTCGGCCGGGGACCCCTTTGACGGGGCCCAGTTCGGAAGAGGTGGCAAGAGCGCTGGCAGTACTCATGGAGGCAATGAGGGCACAGAATATGCCACCGCCTCGTGATCAAACTCCTCCGCATACCCGGCATCAGCGGAGGAAGTTAGACCATGACGGTGGGAAGCTTCCTTCCTTCCGGGAGCTGGAAGAGTGGGAGGAGGATTCTTGGAAAAATGAAAAACAGAGGAAAAAGAACTCTCAATTATTTAAAGGATCCTCATCCTCAAGACCAGCAGCGCATAAGAGCAGCAGCTCAGCTTCTCGGCCAAAATCTACTCGCCGGGAACCCGAGACTGCTCGCAGAAGCGTCCTTGACCGACTCGGCGGCCAGGAACCGAGCGTGCGTAGTCGCCTCTCGTTCCCTGCAGCCGAGGCCCAGACTTCCCAGCCAGGGACGAAAACCACTCCTACCTCTCTAAGAGGGCGGAGCGCGGTCCCTTCGGCCAGGAACAAGGGCAAGGCCATTATGCTTCCCGCTAGTTCACCATTCGAGCAATGGATACTGGAAGAGCGCGTACCCACGGTTAAAATACCGTCGCATATCACATATGACGGGACCACGGATCCGAAGGACCACGTGGCCTCGTATGAGACTCATATGCATCTTTGCCCCAGATCCGAGGCGACTTGGTGCAAATATTTCCCAACCACTCTCAAGGGGGTCGCGCAAGCGTGGATCTCCAAGGGAGTAAGGCAAGGCTCCATAACAGGTTGGGATGATCTGTCCTCCAAGTTCAGGAGCAAGTTTTCCACGGCAAACCGCCGAGAGAAGACTACCGCAGAGCTCATGGGTCTGCAACAGGGGGAAACCGAAAGCCTCCGAGACTACCTGACCCGTTTCAGTAACGAGTCATCAAGCGTCTCTCAGCTGGACCAGGGGCTAGCTGTTTTTGCAATGCAGAATGGCCTTCAGCCAGGAAAATTCCTAGACTTCATGGTCATGCATACCCCTCAGACCTTGGAGGAAGTTCTTAGTGCTTCGGATAAGTTCATCCGAGCCGAAGAATGGAATAAAGCAAAAACCCAACCTCAATCCGGGGGAGGGAAACAGAGGCAAATACCTTTGTCTGAAGGCCAAGGCCATAAGGCAAAGGGAAAATCAAAGGCTCCGGAGCCATCTCCGGCCAGCGACCCAAAGAAGGACAGGTTTGCCTCATACACAGGCAGATATGAGTCCTACACTCCGCTCTCTCTTCCACGCGCCAAAATTTACAGTGTGACGAAGGAGGAGCAGAGTTACCGAAAGCCGAGACCACTCCCAGAGTGGTATCAGCGAAAAAATAAAAATCAGTGGTGTGAGTTCCACGAGTCTTCGGGCCACAACACTGAGGAGTGTATCCAGCTGAAGGACCAGATAGAGGACATGGTCCGGAAGGGATACTTGAAAAAATACATCGCGGATCACCGCGAGAAAAAAGAATCCGAGAGGTTAGCAAAGGACTCTCGGCAGGACCTTGATTTCCCCCGGAAAAACAGTAAAAAACAGGAGGGGAAATTCCCTCCGATCAATGTTATC